GCTTTATACGGTAATCTTTGTAACGTAAAGACACACTTTTAAATAAATTAGTTACATGCACGGAAAGGGAAACTCTATGTCCCCAAAAAATTATATTTTGAGTGCAAATAATGCATTTTCTAAAATTTGCACAAATATAACATAAGCCCTAAAAACTTGTATATCATTAGCTCCAAGTTGGCCTTTGCCACTAATAAATATATATGCCCTTTTGCCCAGCACTTACTTCCTTGTTAGTACTGGGCATTCTCCAATCAAGTACTTCCTGAGAGAAGCACTGAGGACAAGTATCTCTTCCAAAGCTTCTCAAACTGATGTGGTTATATTGTGATTCAGAGACTTGTATAAAAAAAGCATTCTTTAGGCCTGCATTAGTTCAGGGGCCTTTTTAAAACATTTATATGTGTGTGTCCACTATAATAGTGACTTACCCAATGAAGCCATTGTTCACTAAAAGAGAGTTAAATTGCCTTCGACATAGACAGCAGGAGCTTTTACACTGTGTGCATCACTCTGGAAATCTGTTCAAGGCATCTTGACCAGCATACTGTGCAAGCTGTATGTGCTGACATCCATTACAACAGTTGCACAAAACTGATATTGCCAGCGAGGAAAAGAATATTCCAACTGGCTGATTGACAGTCCTGGAGGGATAAATGCAGGGATAGTGCTTTACATCATAACCATTTCAGCAAGATAAAATTGTTATGGTGCCTAGCATGAGTCCATTAAGAATTTTACATTATTCAATGCCAATTCAATAATGTTTGCAAGTGGGAGAGGGTGAAAAGCCACTGTGTTTACGTAAGCAAGCAATTCTTTTTACTTTATTTGGCAGTATAGTCACATACAGATGGTAGTTTTGGAAGGTACTTTCCAAATATAGTTGAAGATTTTGTAAGTAGGTTATTTAAATACCTTAATCAATTTTAAAGTTTTATATTGTAAAAGTAATATTTTGTGTTGTGCTCAAATTATTCAGTCTCAACAAAGGACTGCAAGAAGGTGAAACTAAACTTACTAAAAATGTAATTACCAATATTTTACATCGCACCAATATTTCAGCAAGGGTTAAGCAAATAAATGTAAAGAATATTTTTCTATGTGTACTTTGTTTGAATTGAAGTAAAGTGGATAGTTTCCTTATGTCTCACTGAGTAAATTTAAGAATACTGCCATCCTTTTTTTTAAAATGTTTAATTAATCCAATATTACCTATTGACTTTGTCTGATGTGTTGTACTCGTTATTTTTTTTTTTTTACTAATTCCACATTTATTATTATCGTAAATTTTTTTTTATTCTTCCAGCACATTTAACAACTCTGATATATTTTAATACCTTAGACGTTATAATGATTTATTTAGTGAGACAGTTGCCTCTTCCTTTATTTAGATATTCTTATTTGAAGAGGGATCTGTTAGCACTGAAATTCTAATAGCATGCTGATACAACACCCATCATGCTGGCTAGGTAGGATGGGAATTTCAGTTGAGAAGAGGGGATTCCGCATTTATTTCTGCAGATCTGTTGTATTATAAAATATTGCATTGAATTTCTATCCCAGAATCTTAATCATACAAACGAAAACAGTGTTTATTAATTTACCCACTAGCCCTCTTCCCCCTACCTGAGATAGTCAACCCTTGGAACTCCAGATGTTGTGGACTACATCTCCCATAATGCTTGTACAGCCATAATGCTGGCAAAGCATCAAGGGAGATGTAGTCCATAACATCTGGAGTGCCGAAGGTTGCCTAACCCTGCAACTAGACTATGACGTTCATTTGAGCTAATTCCATTTCATTAGGTCTAAATTTAGTAGCCATTCGTGCATTGATGCAATGTAATGTCAGCAGTTACGTTGGGTCTTGTTTACAGTGTGCATGTCTGGTGCAGGCAAACGTGCTGTGCAAAGGAAATAATGACCTATTTTTCATTGTATACTACGGACTGTACTCTTTGGAAACAGAGAGCAGATTATTCTCTACACAATGGTCTGAATGCCTCATGCAGATTCTATTGAAAAATATCTTGATTGGAGACTGAGCCACTGCCTTATTGATTTTCAAAGTTAGACAACAAATTTTATTTTCTGTCTTCTTCATGCTATCAGTCCTTTCCTCCACAACTTGCATAGTTAGGGCTTAATGAATAAATAACACTATTTAAGGTCGAGGAACACTTTATTAACCCTTTAGATGCAGGCATCGTTTTGGTAAAATTGGGTGTAATATTTATTTAAAACAAGGAATGAAACGCTCAAAATTTATAACAATTTCAGTCAAAGCAAAAATTGATGCTTTTCTTTTTTTTAAAATCAATTGATGGAAATATATTTCGTTTAAGTTTTTCATTTGGGGGAATGCAGATTACCTAAAATGCCACCATGATATTTAAATAACCTCTTTCTGAATACGAACAGAATATTTACACACAGTCAGTATAACTGAACTGCTACAACCAGGCATCTGTATAATATATGACATTACTATTGTAGATTGTAAATATGCCCTGCTGACCCAGTGTTCTATCCTCAGTTCTTGGCTGTTAGAATGTAACCATGTGTCTTTTACAGTCCTTCTGTCTGATGCATGTGAACTTTCTTAGTATACAGTAGCTGTAGAATTGGGACACTCTAACTCTGTTTATTAACCCTTGTCCACACATACAGGGGGGTAGGAGCATCGAGTATTATACATTTTTGACAAGACTGTCCTTAAAGGGACATTATAGTCATCAGAACAATTACAACTTAATAAAGTTGTTCTGGTGAGTATAGTATGTCCCCTCAGGCGTTTTCATGTAAATACTGCCTTTTTAGAAAAAAAAAGGTTTTATTACCTTTTAAGGGTGCAATACACCTAAATGGTAGTTTTAGCACCATAGTGTTCATTTAAGCAAATGCTCTTGAATATAGATTGGATGCATGTGGTGTATGTGGCGGAACCAGCCTCGCCACTGGGCATTGGAGAAGACTGATTGCCAGCCTCCTGCCATGTGACTATGGCCCCTGGGATGTATTGCCTGCTCTCCTGTACTGCTGAGGATTGCTACCAACTAGGTGGATTTGACTATGGAGCTTGTGTAGTGCCCTCTGTTGGTAGCAACAGTAATATGCACTACCTGAATAGCAAGACTGGTAATTTACATATTTGGGTAGATTTGCATATTGCTAATTCTGCATGCAGGAGAGACATTTTGTGTTAATTATGTTCTTCCCCACCCATTTATAAATATGTAATTATGTTATAATAAGTCACTGTATGTTGCCTGCTATGATTTGACTGTTTGTAATTTTATTGAGTCTTCACAGCAATTTTAATGTAATGACCATATGGGCTAGTCCCAAGTAAAATAAAGTTTTAGACAGTTCTACTTCACCCTTAATTTGGAGTCCTGTCTCATTTTGGGGGATTCTGCTACAAGAGATTGCTATGCTCTGCATATTCTCTTGCTATAATCACTCCTAAACTCTTTTAAGAGCTCGTTCCTGCTTCGCTCTAAAGGAAGAGAGGTTTGCCCTGCGGTGGTTGTGGTATCGGCTAGAGTGCTTGGAATCCTCAAGCAGCGCTAGGAGCATCTATCAAGTCGGGGTGCCAGGTGATCTGTTACAGTGTATTACATACATGTTCAATGTCAGGTCTATGCAAACCATACATCCTAAACTGCCCTGGTGTTAATGGGACAGTCCTGAATTAAAGATCCTGGGATTGTAACATACCTTGGGATTCCGGAGACCAATTGCTCAGAAAGTACAGTAGATTCAGTGGATGGGCAATAGATCAACGGAGCTCTGTGCATGTGGAGTCATTAGTGAGGTTGGCCAGTGTGAAGGAAAGTCAACCTGGCATACAGTCAACATGCTTTCTTTTTGGGCAGACCTGTCCCTTAGGCCTCGACAGTGAGGCAAGCCATGTCACTTGCATATACCCCCTATAAAATCAACCAATCTCATCCCAATTTTCTTCCCTTACAATATTGAGGTTATGAGCAAATATTTGCAAAATGTACAGGCTTAGTTACTAAAAGTGAGAATTGTTGTGAATTCAAAGTGAATTTCAAATTTAAGGCTAAAGTAGCGAACTGGTACCATAGCTGACTGGGAGAATTTTTCCAATTCAAATACTGTGCCTTAAATCTGAAATTAATTTTGAATTCTATTAGAATTCCTGATAATTCTGTTGCCTAGCATAACATCCTGTCGGTGCTGACAATGTGCAAAGCACTGCTGCAGTGATCGTATATGTCTGAAATTCACTGAATTTACCTTTATTAGATTTATTTTTACTATATCTTTAAATACTGCATTTTCACTGTAATATGTACCTGCCTCATGTTTACCAATATTGTTTGGATTTATTCAATAAACCTTGAATAGTAGCTAATTTAAATTTAAATTTCAACAACTACTTTGAATAAATTCTGAATGTGAAAGCCTCTCTTTAAATTTTGCAGTTTGTCTTTCAACTCGCTACAATTCAGAATTTAGTAAATAAACTCTATATTGATTTCACCCCTGTACACATATTTTTCTAATTTACAGTCACACTCAACTTGCAAATACCAACTCACTCTCACTGAACAATGATGCAGAAAGATGCACTTATAGGGAGCAGAATGGACGTTTCACAACAGCAGCAGGTCCCCAGCTGGAAGGAAGACATCTGCTAACCTGCAGCCAATAGAGCAGGGGTGCCCAAAAGGTAGCTCCCCAAGTCCTTAGATGTTAGAGAACTACAACTCCCATGATGCTTTGCATGACTTTAGAATGATTTTGGAATGTACCTCCCAAGGACTGGAGGACCTGACTGATGCCTGAAGCAAAGAGTTGGGACCAAAGGGGATACAATTGTAGCAGTATATATAAGGGATAAAAAGGGGGGAGGAGGAGGGGACTCACCAGTCCGTCAGAAAAAGTGTGGGATCCTAGCTTTTCTGGCTGGCTGGCTGACTTGTGCCTAAAAAATGAAGAACAGAAGAACATCAAGATTTCTGCTTTTACCTGTCCCTGCTGTGTTCTGGTATCGGTTGAGGAAGGATGGCGTCGGGAGACCCTGCAGCAGCAGAGGAAACAACCATGGGCGGACGGAGGGCCAGGAGATGAAGGCCTCTGTCGCGCTGTTCCCCCAGTATGGTTTGAAGGATATCGGGTCCCGTGGCATGGTAAAGTTGGAGTCCCCCAGGGTGATGCGAGGCAGGAGGTGGGCCAGATCTGGAGCTGGTGACTGGGCCCAAGATGGTGGTGCTGTGGCGGGAAGATCCCATAGTCCGTGCCACCAGAAGTGATATGGCAAGGAAGTGGTATGGTACCCCTGGAAGTGCGTCAGTGCGTCGGAAGTCGGTGAGAGTGACATCATCGTGGGGTGCGTACGTGATGGCAACACGGCGGAACATGACCGCATCACAGGCCCTGGCACCAGAAAGAGGACGGATGGAAAGGAGAAGTCAGAGGGAGCCTGTGATGGAGGTCACATCAGCATCTGGAGCTTGGGAGACCGCAGCAGTGATACCGGGAATGAGAGGATCCAGGCTGGACCTGATTCGGGGTCTGAAGAGCAGGATGATCCAGTGGAACAGGTGTCAATGACTCCTCAGAGGTTTGGTGAGTTGACCTGCGCTAGCGCTTGAGGGGATTCAGGGGCTACTCAGGGTACTTGGCAGGAAGAATGCTGAAGAGGGTGTTGGATAGGCCAATGGGAGGTTCTGGGGAGGTTGCTCAGGTAGGGCCCAGTCGGGTCCCTGGAGATGGTAGGGGGTTAGGTTTGGGGGCACATCGCCCCAGCCTGTCGGGCTGCAAGCTGGCCCCGTTGGGCATGCATGTCCCTTTGGAGCTGCAAGATAAAATCTGTAGTGGTGAGTTTGTGGATGTGCTGCCCCTGGTTCCACCGGACAAGGAATCAATAGACAGGCTGCGCCACAGGGAGTTTTGCAACCGGAAAAAGGTAAGCAGGTTTATTATATTTGCCAGTATCTTAGTATGGTGTTTCCCTGAGAGAGCCCTCTCGCTCTTTGGGTACCTGGATTTGATATGGGGGGCCTATAAGGCCTATAAGGTGTATGGTGGGCAATGCTGGTTTCGCTATGACCAGCAATTTCGCCAGAAGATGGCGGTGTGCCCGGGGATGGATTTCGGGACGTTAGTTTGCGGTTTCTACTAATGACCCCCAGCTCCCCATCTCCCTTTCCAGGGCCGTTTTATTTTCCTTCGTTTCCCAACTTGAGGGTCTCTCCCCTGGGTTTGGTTCCCAAGAAAGAGTCGGGGTATTGATTGATTCACCACCTGCCCTACCCTAAATCGGGTGGGTCAGTCAATTATGATATTGATAAGGAGATCTGTAGGGTCCGGTATGCATAGTTCGATAGGGCCTTGCAATTAGTCCGTGCAGCTTGGTCTGGTGCACTGTTGGCAAAATCGGACATCGAATCTGCGTTCCGCTTGTTGCCGGTGCACCTAGACTGTTTTCATTTGTTGGGATGTCAATTTCAGGGTTCCTTCTATTATGACATGTGCCTTCCCATGGGCTGTGCCATATCATGTTATTATTTTGAGATGTTCTTGTCATTCTTGAAGTGGGTCACCATGCAAACGGTGGGTGTCTGTGTGGCAACCCATTACTTATATGATTTCTTATTTGTGGGGCAGGGCGACTGCATCAGTTACAGGTCTTACTAGGTCATATTGCCTTTGCATGCAGGGTGCTGCCTATGGGTAGGGCGTTCTGTAGGTGGCTCTCGGTATCGTTTTTGGGAATCTACAACTGTCTGTCGTGTTGGCTGCATGATGCCACGAGCAACATGGAACTGGATCTGTTCACAGATGCATTGGGATCCCTGGGCTTTGGCACGTATTTCCAGGGTCAGTGGTGTGCAGAGCGGTGGCCGTCCGGGGTGGTAGGTTCTCTGTTGGTTCACTGGGATGGGTCTCTGCTTACATGCTGCCAGTTTATGTCAATGTTAAAGGGTTCGCTGGTGGAGTGTGGAGCGGATGCCCAGGAGTACTCCGCTCACTCATTTAGAATTCGGGCTGCCACTCAGGCGAGCCTGTTGGGATATACTGCCGCGGATATTAGGCGTTTAGGCAGATGGGATTCTGGTCTTTATTGATCATATGTTCATCCTCATTTGTTGTAATTGTTGCCTTGTAGGTCCCATCCCTCGTTATAACTGGATCTTGGGTCACTCGTATATTTATCAGGCTGCGTCATGAGCTGAGCAGCACCAATATGGACAGAATCTGGGCTTTTCGTTTGAGGTAGCCCGGGTTAGATGGCAGGGTTTTAGGGGGCTTTCCTGGCAGAAGCTCTATACAGAATGTGTAGCGTTGTGCAGATTTGTTACGGGTCCAGTTACCTTAGGTATTCATGCAGGGGGAAATGACTTGGGGCGGGTTAGGACTATTGATTTGATACATGCGATTAGACAGGACTTGGCGTGCTGCATTGCACTTTTCCTGAACATGATCAGAGATAATAGTGCCCAGGCCATGTTGGAGCAGGTTGCCGCATGCGCGGGGTATTGAGAGAGGGCGGCGCAAGCTTAATGTGACATGGGTAGATTTGTGCACCGCTTAGGGGGCTTTGTGGTTAGGCATGTGGAGTTGGAAAGAGCCAATGAAAACTTGCAGAACGATGGGGTTCACTTAAATTTAATTGTGTTAGACATTTTTAATGCAGGCCTGCAGACAGGTATTGAAGCTGTGCTGTCAGCGGGGGGCGCGACGGTGACTAGGTAGGGAGTAGATAGTCATCGTAATGGCAGGAGTCTTGGCCAGCAAATTACAGTGGAAGAAGGTGCCGAGAAGTTGCAGCCTGCTGAGAGCTGATGGCGGGGGCAGACTGCTCCAGCCTCTTGGATTATGTCATGGTAGAGCTGTCTGTTGGGGAAGCATTCCAACAGCTGACAGGGTGATATGTTTGCTGGCATTTGGTGTGTAAAATAAATAAAACTGTGGCCGTTACCCTTACCCAACAAACCTAGGTGTCATGTGTGTTATTGGGCAACAGGATGTTGGGGGTCAGCAGTCATGACAGCAGTCATCATGACAATGCATCATGAAAGCTGTAGTTTTAAAATGTTTGGGGATCTACCTTTTGAGGAACCTCTACAATTGAGCAACTCATTCCGCTGCAGACAAGCCACTAGACAGTGCCATTTATGGTAAAACAACCAAAATGATTTTTTTTCCTCCTCTTTTTAGAGCATTCTCCCCTGCTTGTCAGCAACTTTGAAAGAGATATTGGTAAAAAAAAAAAAAAAAATCAAAACAGCCAGCCAATGTCAAACTACTGAGCCCTAAAATGTTCAGTGGGCTCTCATACAACCTTTATTGTACTGATGTGTTTTCTTGGACACCTGTTTGAATTATATATTGGGTACCTACTTGATGTATTTGCTCATCCTTGACTAAAGAGTTATATATAAAATAAAATGTCTCTGTGTGTTTTATGTCCTGTTTTGCCTGTTTGTCACTTAACACAATTCACTATCCAGACAGCAGACTCCCATATGTGTGTATGTGTATTATCACTTTTGTGAAAACAGCTGCAGATGCAGTTTTGGTAGTAGAATCATTGCTTAATTTGTGTTATTTTATATATGTTTTCTATATTTGGTTTCAACCTATATGTATACAGTCACATTTATAAATAAATTGAGATATAATTTCAAAAAATGAATATATAAAGATAAAAAAAATCTAATTCTTAAATGAATTTGCAAATTGTGGTGCATTATATAGAATTAGTGTTATGGTTTAATAAATACATTTTAGAGCAGAAAGTTATAAGAGCAGACCACTCAAGTTCACCCATTCTGTATTAATAAGTGTACATTATATTTATCACTATGGCATATGTGAGATCTCATTTTTTACATATACTTTGTGAGATCTCATTTTTTACATATACTTAATTTAAATCTATTTCCTTTCCAAATTTGATAAAAGGATTATTATAATAAAGAACTGATTTAATTGCCTGTTAAAGCAGCCACTGTATGACTGCAGTCTGTTTAGAGAGCCTTTCCACTTGTCTTGTAAATCTCTGTTGGAGGTGTACATTGAGTATGTTGCACTTGGGATTTCTTTGTTGGCACCTGTTTCATCCTCGAATTTTAAAATTTATAGAGAAATTCTACCATAATGACAACAGCTTCGTGAAGTTTTTATGGTGTTAAGTGCCTACGGGTGTAGACTCCTTGTTTTTTCTCAAATTATTTTTAAGTGGTTTAAAGAAAACAAACGGAGATTTATCTAGCATCCAAATCCTACCCACTCTAATTGTCATTAATTGACCATCTAAAATATTTGCACATAGAAGGATGAGATTCTAGTGCACTGATTTGCCATGGCCTTCTCAAAACAGTCACATCAACCATAACATATATTAGAGTCACTGACTCAAAACAAAGTCCATTATTTGTACGTTGTGCCAGAGTTTATGAATGTAGTTGGATTGTGTTTAGTGCAAGTGTGTGGTTCTGATTATATTTTGTAATTCTTAGCATCCTCATTTTCCCCACTGCTGGTTCTTTTGCACATCTCTGAAATGTTTCTCCCTCTTCTGTTCCCCCACTTTCACCTCCCACCCCAATGTTTCGCAAACTACTCTCTGCCCCCCTATTCTCCCCAGTTTTGTGACCCACTACAAATGCCTCTATTTTCCCTTTCTTCTCTATTTATGTTTATTTCCATTACTTTTGTCTCAATCTTTTTTGTGTGTCCTTCCCCTATGTGACATTTTAGTTTCTACCTCCTAGTGTCTTTCTTCATCCTCCACCCTCCTCTAATATCCATCTCTCCATCCTCTATCACCAATGTATGTCTCTAAGCCCCCAGCCGCCTGTATGTGTCTGTCTAGCTGTCTTTGTCTTTCTTTTAACCCAAAACCTCTTTGTTTGTCTGTCCACCACTTCACATTCCAGTTTTCTGACCCTCCACTTCAACCATGGTATTGTAGCCTGGCTTAGCATGATGGATGCAGAGGCTCTACTTACTCCTGTGTATGGTATCTCAGTGGATTTTTTAGAATTTAGCATCTAAAGTAAGTAGATAAAGAGGGAATATGATGTGACACCATCCTACTAGGCCACACTACAGTTCAGTGAGGGTATAGTTGGGAGAGACCTACTGGCGGTCACTCATGGTGGACCTGTGTCTCCACCCTTAGTACACTACTGTATACTTATATTATACCCAGCATTCTGGTAAAATAAAACTGCACATATGAATAGCTGTGCATGCTTCTCCCCACTCCAAACATTTTTAGCCATGTATTTTGGGATCCCTATATGCATCATTTGAGGAAAGCAAAGATAAGTATGTTTTTAAAAACAAAAAAAATCTATATATTTTGATTGCGATTTTCAAAGCACAATGCATAGACCAGGGGTTGTCAACCTTTGGCACTCTAGATTTCATGGACTACATCTCCCTTGATGCCCTGGCAGCACTATAGGTGTAAAAGCATTATGGGAGATGTAGTCCACAATATATTGAGTGTCGACGGTAGCCTACCACTGGTAAATACTGGGTTTATTTAGTAGATGACTATTATTTGCGTGCATTATGGAAGACAGAATACCTTTAGCAGCACAGACTGATCTCAAAAGTCTACTTCATTACATTTTGCTAACTAGTCAAAATATTTTTAAAATCCT